ACAACTACCGCCACCAACAACAACAACCACAACTACCGCCACCAACAACAACAACCACAACTACCGCCACCAACAGCAACAACCACAACTACCGCCACCAACAACAACAATAACAATAACAACAAACAAACGTTGCTAAGCTTTTAACAAATACGATATTTAAAAAACATGCACGACTAACCATGAAGACCGCCTGCTGAAGCGAACCAGTCTGCATAAGAACCTGTCGAATAACACTATCCTCTACAATCAGCAGATCCTCTTCCTTCATAGGAACACCATTCACAACAACCTTAGGTAGTTTCTGCAAACCAGTACGATCAAAGAATCTCTTCCATTCTTTTCGCCCTTCATCGTACTCCGAGTCTGGTCCAAGAACATCGTTAGCGTCGTCAGTGCCAACTAAAGACACCAGAATGTCGTACACAGCTCTGACAAGCGCTTCGTCGTCGTCTAGGGGTGCTTTGTTGTAGGCCTGAGATTATGACAAAAATAAAATGAGGGACGATACATAGGGTTAAGGTTTAGTTTATAATTATCTGTTGCTCAGGGGTAGCCAAACTTTTGTGCACAATATTCATGTGTTGGTATTTCAACACTGATTTCAAAAAATATCTCAACACTGAAATGAGGCTAGCCCTTACAGTAGTCTGCAATCAAGCGACACAGCGGTATTTTACGAAGACGAAAAGAGGTCTCTTCTACCTTAATAATCCACTGGATTGCTTGCCGAGGGTCTTTTTCGTTTTTCAAGAAGTAGAACGCACGTGCTATGGCAACAGCGGCGTTGCTTTTCCGAGCATCGATCCCTGGATTGCCGTCAGCTACCATCACGATACCTATCCTGATGATCAGAGAAAAGAGTGCATTTTGTGCAAGTGAATTTTATAGTTTGTGGCGAAGAGTTTGATAACAATCTAATATTCTTTAAATTGGTTTGCATGGCCTCCATGTACCTTTAGCACACGGCAGCCATGTTTATTCTCATAAGATTTAAAAAAAGATTTTTCGTTTCTTTGTTATTTTATTCAACATAGCGTTCATGTCATCCAACATGGCGGCTACTTAGGTATGTGTCGTTTTTTTAGGGGGTGTAGTGTGGTCGAGGGGAGGGTTGATCTTCACTATCAATTCTTACCGTTTCGTCATGTTTCTCACCTGATGGGCATGGACGCAAGAAGAAACTCCTCTGCACTCTTCAACAACTCAACACTCAAAGAATTCACGGGGTCAATAAAAAATATTACGTGGAAAATGTTCTTGGCGATGTAGCGCATCATTCCTGGGAAAGTCGGTCTCAGAAGCTCCTGAATATGAGAGGGCCACCCCGAATACTCTCGATCATTTTCAAGATCATTCACGAACACGACAGAGTCGTCACGCGTGTCTAAAACATATGAATCAAGGTCGTCTGATACTGACAGAGTAGCGAGTTTGGATAATGCCTCGCCTGAGATCCCTAACGTAGATAGTTTGTCCAACACACGACCTTCTTCACGAAGGAGGTCCAGTACTTCGAAAGGGTTCATGTCCTCAATATCTATCAAGCGACCATTTATAAACAGAGCACTGTCACCAGCTTCGATTCCAATTTTACTGAACGTCTTTTGATTGTTCAGAACCTCTTCCCTTAGTTCTTTCTTCACTTTTGTTCGTACGAGGGACCTTGATAACTTAGGGACGTTCTGGCTGAGGTCCCTCAAGACCTGGAGGGCACTTTTAGGGTCTGACGAGACTACTCTCTGAGCAGCTTGAAAACTTAGGTCCTGAAGCTGCCAGACTTTTAGAGGAGCCATTTCACGTGAGCTTTCTTTCAAGTGGGACCTGAATTGATCCAGTTGTTCATTTAGATGTGGGTAAAGCTTCCTTAACTTCGTAAAAAGAAAACCTTCCACTTCATCGTCTCCTTCCTTCTCCTTTCCCAGCGTGTCTGAGCCATCTTCATTGACTTTGGTGTCGTCTACAGCTTTGTATTCTGTCTTTTTGACTGCGAGTTCTACACCGTATCCTGATAAGCGTACTTTGGAATTACGAGGGTTCTGTAATGCCGAACAAAAATAAATAAATAAATAAATAAATAAATAAATAAATAAATAAATAAATAAATAAATAAATAAATAAATAAATAAAACCGCTTACATTTAACCAAACTGGCGCATTTCTTTTGGTTTCTTCCAAGAGAAAAACAAAACCGATTATTCTGGATAAACTATATTCATTGCATTAAAGTAAAAAGAATACCTTAACATAATGACGTAATACATAGTGCACTTTCCCCTGGGCTGCCATGCGTGATAGGTCATCGTGGAATGAGTTGAACTCAGCGGTACCAATATGACCGGAAAGAATAACAATGACTGGGTTCTCGTTGGATTCTGGGTAATGATGATCGAAGTCGTATAACTGGACTGGTGATCTGGAAAAAATATATAAATAGATTAGGATGGAAGGAAGAAAGGAAAGGAAAGAGGAAGAGAGGGAAAAAGGAAGAGTGCGAAAAGGGATTGGAGCAGGGAAGGAAGGAAGTAGGTAGATAGCAAGCAAGCAATACCATACTTACACTTCATTAGAAGATTCTATCAATTGTACAACTTCTTGCAATTTACAGGTTACTTTTGAACCAATTTGAACAAATGAACTACACTCAGAAATATCTGGTACCTCACGGGCTACCTGTGAACAAACGGAAAACTTTATCAGAAATGTTATCATTAAGCGAAGATTATTGCTTCGTTTTCTCTATTATCATACTGTAAAAACCATGACAAAGGGTACGCGACAATTTGCTGCAGATGGCAACGGAAAGGCGGATGATGACGATGACTGATTACGATGAGATAATGGTGATGTTGATGGTGACGATGCTGATGGTGACGATGATGATAATGATGATGGTGATGATGATGGTGACGATGACGATGATAATGATGGTGATGATGATGCTGACGATGATAATGATGGTGATGATGATAATGATGATGGTGATGATGATGATGGTGGTGATGATAATGATGATGGTGATGATGATGATGATGGTGATGATGAAGACTTACCTTATTATGAAGTTCGACTTTGGGAGAATAGCTTCGTATAGACAAGGAAAACTTCAATAATTGTAATCCTACTGGACTCAACAATTGTTCTGCATTTTTAACTATACTTTGATATATTTCTGGTGAAAAGAAAAAGATAATACTCAATAAAGAGGTGTTAAACGGCAAACAAACGCACTTCTAACGCTTCGTGTTACTTACCTAAATCACTACTCTTTGTATGAATATTTCTAGAAAATTCTACAAACTTCCAAAACTTCTCGTTGCTTTCTCGCGCTAAAAATTCACTGTAAAAACAAACAAGCAAATAGAAAGACTGAACGATAAGCAGAAATATTTAAGACATATTTTATTATTCCATTTGAGAACGTTTTTAACTTATTTTGATTTATCTAACTTTGCCTTCAGATCAAAATACGAAGGGGGGAAAATGATACAAATATAGATACATGTTCTGAGGCAAGGAGACCGTAACACCTAATGCCAATTACTGTGGACCCTTATCAAAATCAAGTCAGTATCTTGTCAATACATTTAGGAGCAGCACTTTATTTAATTCTAATCAAGTGGTTTTTATTAATGAATTTGCAGGAGTTTCATTTAAACTTTTGACGGAAAGAGAGAAGGCGTTGGTGGTTCAATTCTCACGCATGCGTACCTGGCTTCCAACTCTAATGGCGTCCACGACCATCTTGCATTCAACGAAGCACTAACGTGCTTGGATTCGCCATTAATACCAAGAACGAAACTAGATAAAACGATGGACAGTATTTGAAGAACCTGGAAATAATATAAAAGTAAAGAAGACTTGAATGAGCAATGTTAATACCACTAATATAAACCTGAAACTTTTAAGCCGTAGCCAACAAGGATTGGACGTCATAAGTAAAAACGCTTTATAGTAAATTATCGTTTGCCTCACGGTTGGGGGTTATTTGTAGAGAAGACCGCGATGTTCGACTGTAAGCTTTTAGTCTTATATTTATTTATGCTCTCTTGGTGGTATATATAACAGACACGCCATCCGGTCTACACCATCGCCTGATGAAGACTAGCAGCTTGCAGTCAAAACGTCGCCGTTCTTCTACAAATGAGCCTAAATCTTGAGAGAAACGGATAACTATTTTTACTGATTAAATTTCCAAAATGAATAATATATTTTGCACCGGTTTTTCTATATAACTACGAAAGTAACAAAATCCTCAGTAGAATATAAAGATCGTTCAAATCAACTGAGATCACTACCAGAGTAATAAAACGTTAGTAAAAACAATTCAGGCAAGTCTATTCAAGGTTTATTTCAACTTTTTATTACCAAACTTTCTTACATGACGATGTTGATGGTGATGATGATGATGATGGTGATGATGATG